ACACTACAAACAGCTCCCTTCACACAAACCACAAACAGGCCCCTCCACACACACTACACTGCAAACATCCTCCTTCATACACACTCCTCCACAAACAGCTACCTTCACACACACACTCCTCCACAAACAGCTCCCTCCACACACACAGTACTCCACAAACAGCCCCCTTCACACACACACTACATTGCAAACAGCCCCATTCACATACACACTCCTCCAGAAACACCCCCCTTCACACACTACTCCACAAACACCCCTCTTTACACACACAATACACCACAAACCACTCCCTTCACACACACACACACCACAAACAGCCTCCGTCACACACACACACACTACACCACAAACGGCCCCCTCCACACACTACACTTCAAAATGCCCCCTTCACACACAACCCCACAAGCAGGTTCATCCTACCACGCAACTCCACAAGCTACATCCCCCCATGTGCAAACAAAACAATCAGAATTTCCCACATTACAACAATTTAGTTTCTTATATCAGGGGAGCATAAATCTAACCAGTAAGGATTGTGCTCTAGCTTTAGGAAAGCATGTCTATAATCCTAGTGTTAAGAGTTTTCTATTAATAATAAATATCCTCCTATAAACTGTACCAAATGATCAGAAGGTGAGGGGTTAAACAGAAGACCGGGTTAAACAGAAGACCAGATTAATGTTCGAAAGGAAATCCAGGCTCCTTGCTATACTACTTACCCAATGTGTAGCATGTAAAAGGTTAATAGTTGCTGCAGGCTCCCTTAAATGTGACACATTTAGAAATGTCCGCATTGTTTCTGCTTTTCGTTTGGACCAAACGTGATAACAAACATATTAGCTTTCACATCAGGATCAGATCCTGCTCAAGCACGGAGCATAGAGCGAGAAGTACATGGAGAGGATCGCTTCATGGCACAAACATTAGACATTGGCGTCTCTGGGAATACTCTGGTTTACGTGGAAAGAAAAATACGAAATCTCCACTGTTGCAACAGCGACAAACTTGGCATTTCAAAAAGAGAAATTCAAACGATGCCAGAAGAAGCTTCATCAGTGAAGATTCTTCTTCCGCTGTATGGATTTTCTTTTTGTGAAACTCCAAAGTTTGTAGCCGTTGGACCAGTATAATTAAATTGTATCAAGTTTAATGGATTTGCTATTTATTCAGGGACGACACGTCCAAAAGGCGGCACAGGTGGCTGCCTTAGGGCACTCTGGCTGTGAGGGTCAAGATTTGAGTGTCTGGCAGGAAGAAATCAGAGAGAAAAAATACACAAAGGGGCTGAGCGGAGTAAGACACACAAACAGGGGGGTTGTGAGAGATGCACAAGGGAGAAATACACAATGGGGAAAAATAGGGGATAAGATACACTAGAAGGGGGTAAGACATTTAAAAGAGAAGATGTCCAAAAGTCCTTGCACCAGCCCTGTATGTACTATAACAACCTGGATTTCGTTGTGCACTATATACACAGCTTCTTACATCTACATTTACTCACAGACTGCTTAATACAAATTACAGATAATGGACAGCATGCACGCACACACACACACACACAAAATACAGTTTTCTATTTTACAAGGCTACTTAAAATCCCCAAACAAATATGGGGATCCAGTTACAGCACATGGTCATATTGTGTTAATCCCACCACTATGTCACAATACCCCACTATCGGTGGGTTCTACACTAATTTTAAATGGGAGATTAACATGCTAACTGCAATACTCACTGCTTAAACCACTTCCAGAGACCTCTCAGCTTATGTTTTCCTATGGCCACTTCCAAAGGGTCAACTATAGTGGATGGGTTGGATGCTCACCCTAATACAAACTACCTAATAGGTACATACACACTGCCTGGCACATACACAGTCAAACAAACTGACTAATACATGCACCAATTCTCACATGCACACTGCTAAATACATACGCACAGCGTACTGAATACATATACACACTGCTAAGTACAAACACTGCTACATACATACATACATACACACACTTAAATGAATGCACACACACTACTAAATACATACATACATACACTTACTGCCAAATACATACTCATTCGAACACAGAAAACATAAAGCCCTCACTTGTTCCTCACATACAATGGGCATTAAAAGCAGGCCATTGCAAGCAGAGTGGTATCTGCTCTCGGGGCTCAGAGGTCCTGCTGTCATGCTTCCATTCTATCTGCTACTTGTCGCACAGGGCAGGGGGCAGCAGCAAGTGGATGTTGTGCCCTTGCGCTGCCCTGCTCTTCTAAAGGCTCTCTGTTGAGTCCTGGCTTGGAGCTGCAGACCGGAGGATACTGCCCCCCGCGTCTTCCGGGTAGACGGAGCAGAGGGGCCCTGCAACTGGCGGCACATGACTCTTTACTGGAGTCGGGCCCATGGTCATGGACGTAGTGCCCGATAGCTCAGTATGACATTTTAATTTGGGAGTACAAGGAGGGGCACGGCCTGTCAGTATAGATACCTCAATTTAAAAGAAATAGGTCAAGCACGCCAAGGGACTTCAAAATCTTGAAGATTGCCTACCCCGGCTCTATGGTCTTCCTTGATTCACTCCTTGCACAGGGATGGGACCTAGTCAGACCAACAAACTCAAATTTGAACACAGCACTCTGAATACCATATGTGTTACCCAAAATTGAGAGGAACAACAAAAAAGGTGGGAATTGCCTCCAAAAGTGAACTTAAAAAATGTAGTATACTTTATTAGAAACACAAAATATAGTTTTATATGAATATAACTTATAGTATTCAGAGTGTTGTATTGTTATGAGGGTTATCCCCTGTAGTAGGTCTTGCTGGATGGTCCATTGGGAATTCACTTATGTTGTGAATCTCTTATTTCTCTTTATAAATTCAAACATTGTCTGACCTAAGTTGCATGTATGTGTCAGAAGGATCATGTACTAAACGGAGGGATGAATTTCTATTTTTTTTTACATGTATGTACATGCCTGTCTGTATTCATTGCTGTCTGTATGAGTGTTTGAATGTATGCTGTTTAGTATAGAGCTCCAGAATTTGGTTTCCTTGGATAAGGCAATCCCACATAAGGAAACCAAATTAGGGAGTCCTCTACTAAACTGCTGAAAGATCAGAAATAGGTAATGGGTTCCTTTCCTGTGTTTATTTATTTTTTATTACGACTATTATGGAGCTTCATAGCTATATGAATAAATATGTCCCTCCATCCATGCACAGACATAGCATATGGCCCTCATGCAAAAATGTTTGCAGACCACTGTACTACATACTGGTACAAACCTATAACATTAACATCACCAGGACTAAACTAATAATATTTTATTATTTGCAGAACGAAACAGAGAAGGAAGAATAAACGGATTGTATGAAAGAATGAAACGGTCAAAGAACAAAAAAGGAAAAAAGGAAAATATTGAGTCATCAGTAATGTGTAATGATACGGTGAACCAAGCTTTGAGAGGAGAGGAGGCAGATGCTGAGACAGAGACTCCAAGTGTCTCTTGCGATGAAAGAAAGACAGAAACTGGAAAAGAGACTCACATACACCCTCCTGGAAGAGAAACAAAAGAGGAAGCTATTCAAACAGAACCAGAACCTTTAAACGAAGCACGTAGATATAACGTAGAAAGGCTTGAATATCCATACGAAGATATTTTGGATGAATTGCAACACTTCATGGAAGATGGAAATTTAAATAATAGTTTGGAACCTTATTTGATAGGAGGATATAGAACATTAGGTGTTTCAAATATTAAGGAGGAAAACGAAATAGATTTTAAAATGGGAGACTCTGGAATCAACACAGCGTATGGGTCATTGGTAGATGATGAGGAATTTTTTTAATTTTAATTTGTATTTTTTTATTTTGAAGATATCAACGTGTACATTTATGCAGTATATGCAGTTATGTAATTAACATAATTAAGCAATATATTCAGTAGTACAATATATTAGTAATGCAGTAGTGTAGGTATGCATCATCTTTGTAGCGCCATCTGTCTAGCAATGTAGCATGTCTACCACCAGGGGCGGACTGACCGGCCGGGAGGGGGGCCCGCCACCAGGGCCACCTTCAGGGGGCCCGGCGGCAGGGCAGGATTAGGGGCGGCATCTAGGGACTTCAGTGGAAGGTGCCACCGGGTGGCCAGGGTGGCGTTTCATGCTGGAGCCGCCGGACTGGGTGGCAGCCTCGCTGGTCCGGCGGCATTCCTCTCACTAATGCTGAAGGAGGAGGAGCATGTCTCTCTATCATGCTCCCTGCGGTTCCCACAATTCCCAGCACAGGATGT